CTCYCCCGCTCCCGGCCATTCACTCTTGATCTCTCTCATTTTCTCTCTCCAGCGAAATAAATCAAGCGGGAACTGTTCATCGTCTTCCACATCTCGACAGAGGCGGTGAACCAGCGGCGGCAATCTCTCCCGCTCCCGGCCATTCACTCTTGATCTCTCTCATTTTCTCTCTCCAGCGAAATAAATCAAGCAAGAACTGTTCATCGTCTTCCACCTCTCGACAGAGGCGGTGAACCAGCGGCGATTCCCTCCCCTCCGGCATCTCTCCTCTTCCATTTCGTCATCCTCTGTGTTCCTCTCTCTTGCTCCCTCGCTCACTTCCTCCTTCCATTGCCTCCCATCAATACCAACCGACCGAATCGACCGAAATCGTGCAAAGCGAGAAAACTGTTCATCGTCTTCCTTCTTCGACGAAAACAGAGAAGCAGCGACTGAACAGCTCGAACCAGTTGTAGCAGCAAGAAATCCCTCCCCATTCTGACTCAGCTCCTCTAGCTCTCACCTCCTTCGTCTTCTATTCCGTTTCATTCTCACGCTAGAGTATACACAGTAGCAGATCGAATCAGACTACGGGACCCCCTGTTGCATCATTTGAATTTCGGCCAACATCTCAACTCAGGTAAATCCTGTTTTACTTGCGATTCTTCTTTCTTTCTTTGTATTATTGTATTTGCTCCATTTCTCTGCTGGTTTTGGGGATGACAATGAAGCTCTACAGAGTCATCCTCTGCATCATCCCTTACCAGCGACAAATGTGGTGATGGAAGGAGTTACCGCATGGATCGTCTCCTAAATATCTTATGGATATCGTCTCCAATATCTTTGATGCTGAAGTCGGAGAAGACGACCGGCTCAATTTCTCCCGCAAAGATTTCTTGTTATAGTAAATAAAAAAAGAAATAAATAATAAATTGTGAGTACACAAATCCTAGAGTAAATGAAGAGAGAGAATAAGGAAGAGATGGGATAACAGATCCGGGGAGTGAGTAGTATTCTTAGGTTAGAATGAAGAGGAAATCGGTTGCAAGAGAACAAAACAGAGTTGAAACAAAAAAGGATAGCAATAAAAAATAATAATAATAAAAGTTCGCCATAAAAAAATGTAATAAAAGTGAAATTATGATAACAACTGTAATCAATAGATCCGGGTATGTTAGTTTAACTGATAAGATGCATTTGCAGAAGAGAATAATTCAGTAGAAAGGGTAATAAAAAATGAGGAAGTAAAAAAGGAAAAATAAATGAAATATAAAAACTTGAAAGATTAAAAAAAACAAAAACAAAAAAATAACTGCATAAAACAAAAATACAAGAACATTCAAATAAATAAAATAAAATAAACAAACATATAAAAATATTATAGTGTGGTTTCCCTTGTGTTGGTTTGTTATTGATTGGTTTTTGTTATTTATCTGATTGAAGAGTTGCATTTTTGTGTTTATGCTTTTTGATAATCCCACGTGGGCCCCAACTATTGGACCTGGGAGAGGGGTGCCTAATCCCTTTCCTCTCCCATCTTAGTTTTACGCGGACTGGTGCCTTGGGTTTTGGAGTCACTATTAAAATAAGGCATTTTAAAAATCATTCCCAGAGGTCCCATCACCTCCATTTCCATAACTGATGGGTTGCGATTCCATTTCAGCCCAAGTGGCAAAGTGAGCTGTTTTCCGACGCTCACAGTGGCTAAATGGGATACTAATCAACTACTTCTGTTACAAGAACTTGATCCAACCAGCCCAGTGATCTGAGCTGCAAGGCCATTGACCCGAACCGATCCAGAAAGGGATGAGTCGGGTTACAAGTTGCCCAGTTTCCAAACCAATGTTTTAAAATTTCTGTTGACCTAGACAATTGAACCATTCAAACCATTTGAATTGGATGATTAAACCTGTATTTTTGATAAAAACCATTGACTTGATCAAAGACTATCTACCTCTAATGGTTGGACAATCGACTCGTGTGTCAAATTCCAATATGAATGTTTAGGATTAGGGTCTATCCTTTGTAGACCCAACATGAAAATCAACCCGACTGAAATAACCCTTTGTCTTTACACAACTCGAACTTGACCTAATTGCCACATTTAGCAAAAACCATGAATCACAAACGTAAGGTGAGGTGAGGCCACAACAATACATCAAAGGCCGTGAGTTTACTGTTTTAACCCACCCCAAAAGTTGGACAATTTAGTTGTTGAATTCACATCTGCACTCCACAGCACATCCCGACCGTGTATCGGGAACTTCTCCCAATGATAAGGATGGGAGATGTTCCCAATGCACGTTGAGATGTGCATGTGGGGCTTTTTTGGGGCACACTCTATAGGGTTGCAGATGTAAACTCCTAGTTGTTATGGTAAAATATAGGGCAAATTTCTTAAACTACCCTTATGGTTTAGCTAATTGACTAAGTATACCCCTACTGTTTGACTATTGTCTAACACTACCCCTATTGTTTCAAAAAATACCATTGCCGTTAAATATTGACAGAAGGGCCAAAATCTCAATTTTACCCTTCTATTAAATCCCTTTGCTATCTAATGATTTGGACCTGTGCCGTAAAAAAGGAAAAAATGAGATTTTTTTTCCTACTTTTGCCTCTCTTTTTTGCTACTGCCATTGTTGTTGGTGGCGATGCTTGCTACTTTCTACTTTTTGCAAATTAGAGCTCTACTTGTTACTTCTGCCTCTGCTTTAACATTTCCCCCATCAACAAAATTCTCAAAAGGCTTAGGGTTTTCCTACAATCGCTCCTCTTCTTTGTTGGTGTAAAGACCAAGTCTTGGGGAAGGTTTCAAAGTGCAGAGCCCCATTTCCCCTACCTAAACCCTAATCTAACATATCTCTCCCCAAATCAAACCAGTTCAATCAAGGACCTCTCTCTCTCTCTCACTCACATTCTCTCTCTCTACTATCGACTTTTTTTCTCTTAGAGAGAGAGAGATGGTGAGAAAAGAGATCATGGAGAAGAGAAGTGATCTCATCTAGGGTTTAGATGAAGAAAAGGAAAGAGGGCTAAGAGAACATTGTCTTCACGATTTCTTCTTCGCTGTTGTCGATCTCTCCAGTGGCTCCACTTGCTATGGTTGCTATGAGAGCTGTTGTTCTTCTATCCTACACAAACAAACGAAGGTAAGAGAGGTAGGAGGAGGGTGTCTTGTTTTAGAAAGATAAGAAGGAAAAAAGGAAGAAAGAGAATGAAAGAGGGAAGAGAGAGAGAGAGAGGTCGGGGGAGGAAGGGGGGTGTCGGACCTATCGGTCGAGAGGAAGGGGACGAAGGTAATATTGGGTTTTAGAAAAAAAAATTAAATGTCACGTAGTGTCACGTGTATATAGGTTTTGACGAAATATTGATGGATGTTAACGGTAAGGGTAGAGCTAGTCAATTGTCAGAAACAATAGGGGTAGCATTAAACAATGGTCAAACAGTAGGGGTGTACTTAGTCAATTAGCTAAACCATAAGGGTAGTTTAAGAAATTTACCCTAAATATAAAAACCTTCCTTGAGGTTTTTGACAATTATAAAACCCTTGCCTAAATTTTCATTTCAACAAAAACTCTCCCTTATAGTTTTAGAAAAACCTACAGTAGCCTATATCCTTTTCGTCATTGTCCCAAATGGAAAAGGTTGGCCTAATAAATTGATTTTTGAAAATAGGCATTTTACTCTTGCATAGATTTATTAAAATGCCCTTGAAAAACTTTTAAGTTTTAGATGGTGTTTGGTATGGCTTCCATTTATTTGAAAAACAGTGCTAGCTCATCGCCATGTGGGCGTTTGCCCCAAAATGATATTTGGTAAACCTATTTATCAAATAAACATTCTGTATCAGTTTATGCGTAAGTCAACTATTGGGAGAATCTTCATTTTAATGTTTCCTTCAACACCAATGTGTTTATTTACTGTTTTGCTTATGTGATGCCTAATGGCGTTTAATGGTACCTAATTGTCAAACAATAGTAAAAAAAATGTTTATCAACCACTTTTTTTTTTGAATTTAAAGATAAAGATAAATCAAATACAAACATTTGTATACCAAACATCACCTTAACTTTTATCTAAATAAATTTCCACTAGATTGAAAAAAGTAAGGTAGTTTATTTTGTAAGCTCATAAAAATCAAGTGAAGTTTTAGAAGGGAAAATTTGACATTTGAATTAGGTTGGAAGATGCCTAAGGACAATTTTGTAACTTTCAACTCTCTGTTACTGGTACAATGATAAAAGGGAGGTAACCGCAGTCCATAGATTTTTATAAGGGATGTGTTTGTAAAATTGAAATTTCAGGGGGAGGTTTTGTATTTTACCCAGTTTAAAAAAGGAGTATTGAAAAAGGAAACGGGAAGACAAGCAGAGTGAGAGATGGTGGAGCAAGAAGAGCTCGTAGAGGCAGATAGTCCAGAAGCCATCATCATTGCAATTGAAAACAAATCCCGGAAGATCGACACCTTACTGAAACAGTATGAATTTGGAAAACTCCATCTCTTTATCAAGACTTATGGGACTTCTGTTTTAATTTATTAATTTTCTTGGAAATTGGATTAAATCTCTTGGGTGCCTCTCTGTAGAAACCGATTTTTTCCCCCTCGGAGTTGTTTTCTGAGAACCCTCGATTTGTTCTTGTACCTTAGGTCTAAACCAGTTGAAGCCCTCAAAACAGCTCTCGAAGGATCACCTCCCAAGATCAAAGATGAAAGATGCAAGGTTTCTCCTACTTCATTTCACTGATACATTTTTTATTTAAATTCCTTAATTGACTTATGTTGGGATGAAGATAATTGGTTAATGTTTTTTTTTTTTTTTTTTTTTTTTTGTAGTCTGCAAGTTGGATAGTTGTCCATCGTGCAATGATGGGTATAAAAGATGTTGATGGATTGTTCTCCTCTTTGGAGCCGGAGTACTACGACATTCTAATGAAGTAGGTGAATTTCTTCTTGGCTCTTTCTATTTTAATATGTATAGCCTGAATTTCTTTTAATCTATACTTGTAATGACAAACTTAACTTTTTATGGTCTCTAGAAGACAAACATGTGATGTGCAATAAGGTTAACTGCATCACCTATAAAAAAAGAAAGAAAAAAATGTTAACTGCATTGTGAAAGTAGCTAATTAGTATCAGGTCCTACTGCTGTAGCTATATGGTTGAAGTGAAGAACACAATGCCTCAAAATGTGAAAGAGCAATCAAAGAGATAAATCTTCAAAAGGAATTCTTTGTTGCTAATGCTAAGGATTTTAAATATCTCGGTCTGTTGAGAAAAGAAAAAGAAAACTAGAATTGGGATTTGGGAGCGAGTGTTATGTACATGGAAATATGGAATGGGTTAGTGTTAGGTGACGAGGACAATTGGTATTTTATTTTAACCACTTCTGACCCTTTGTATTCCTGCAGGGTATTTTAATTTAACCACTTCTGACCCTTTGTATTCTGTTGCATTCATATTTAATGGGGAATATGCAGGTACTTATAATGCAGATAAATTCATGCAGGACCAGAAGATAGTAAAAACACACACTAGGGGTGGTGATACATTTGAAATCTGTTTGAATGAGGAAGCCCACAACTAAAAAAGTTGCCGCCTATTTTGCCAACACATCTGCGTGTCATGGGTTCAAGAATGTAATTAGTTTGGTGGTTGCCATTATGCATTCAAATTCCAAATGAGGCCAGAAACATATCATTCATATCTCATATTCACCAATTGTGAGGAAGTTCTGGTAGCCATGTGTCTATGTTTCAAAATTGGTTTCTGGTGGTTTGGCTTCCTCCCCTTACATCAGTTATACTAGTCTTCTTTGGGGTTCTAAGAAGCTAAGTTCTACTTCTCATTTCTTGGATGATGGATGCAGATCAATTTTTAGGACATTTCAGCTGTTCATTTGAGAACAAATCTTCTCAAGATCTTTTAGTCTTATCTTGGAGGACACCTAGAGTGATCATCCCTGTTTCTGTTAATGGACAAGTCAGATGCTAATTTGATGGTTGTTCCAACGAAAAACCAAGGTTGGCAGGGACTAGAGGTGTCCTATACAGGGTTAATGGGTTCTTTTTTGGGCATTTGGCAGATCAATTGAAGACGCAGATTCCTATATTATCCGGATACAACAAGGACATAGCTGGACACTAATTGGATACAAAATTTACACTAGAAGTTGAAGTATCAATGCAGCGCCCTTGTGTAGGTATCTTGGTATCATAATAGGTAGATCCCAAATAGAGAAGTTTAAGCACTCTTAATGGGAGGGGGGGTTCAAACTGCCGAATTTTTGTGTTCTATCTCTTAGCTCTTGAGGGTGATTTGGCTAATGACAACCAATGTTACCAACAAGCGGACAGTGGACCATGGCATTTATCATTCGTCTTGAATGAGATTTGATATTCTTCAGAAAGCTTGACTTGACTGTATAGATTTGATGGGTTCCTAGGAAAATGAATGCTATGGTGGATAGTCTTGCAATTTTGAGATTAAGAATGGTTTCTTTGTTTATAAAGTCCTATTCCTGCATAGTTTTTCTAATATAGAGTTTTTTGTCCATGTATTGGTCCTTTCATGTACTCTTCTTTTTTAATCAGTGACGCAAACGAGCGAGATTTATTGATGACGTAAAATAAGAATAAACACCCCCAGATACTTGAGAATAACTTGGAAGAAGGGACAAGTACATAGAAATTAGCTGACTACATGGTAAATATTATACAAATATACTTGGTCTCTTGGCTGGGCCCAAAACCTGATGATCCTCATTCTAGTGTAGCCCTGCCTACTATTCCCTTGTGAGGGAAATAGCAACAGATGGGGGGATCCACTTGAACAAGCTGTTCAATCTTGATGTCTTGATGTTAGCGACATTTCTTCTTGAACCTGATGATCATGAATCCAATGGCCATTAGAACTGGTAGTCATCCACTTAATCACCATGTTATAATCCCTATGAGTTCTTGCAAAAGGGGACAATCTGCAAGTATGAGTTCTTGCAAAAGCGGACAATCTGCAAGTACAAGTTCTTGCAAAAGGGAATAAGTTCTGTTCTTTTTGAGTTCCTCTCCCTACAGGTCTCAACTAGCTTACTTTGATGTTGCCCTGTCCATCTCTCAGATCACTTGTTCAGGATGGCACGGGATCCCATTGAGCTCCCATCAAAGTTCAACTTGAGGCTGCCTTGATCTGGTGGCATCCAAGCCTGATAAACAAGTCTTCTTTGGAAAGCAAAACCAGCAGTTCTAAGCAGCAGAGCTCATCAGTCTCTTGGGTGGACCCTAGGTCCAAAGCAAGCAATTAGGCATATATCTTGGCAGTGCATGAATTAATGCTTATTATAAATCCTGAAAAAAGTATGTAATATCTGACACATCTTTTGGTAAATCTGTTTTTTTTTTTTGATGAATGAGTAAGTAGTTTTATTAAGGATATCAAAAGACCCAAGTCTTAATAAAAACAAAACATAACTATAGATTAGCCCAATAAAAAGAAGCCTGAGAAACCCCTTGTTTAGCCAGAGAGTCTGCCAAAGCATTTGCTTATCTGCTAACCCACTGGAAGTTGATAGACATATTCCTTGTGATCCATTTTGCTTGTTTTTAGGACATCTCTATAGCCCTAAACAACACTGTTCGGGTTCAGCAGCCACCCCACTACCACTTTGGAGTCTCCTTCTTCCAGTAGGTTCTGCACCCCAAGTTGGTTAGCAATTTGTAGGCCTTGTACAGCTTCTAGCATTTCAGCCATTGTTGAGTCTCCAATTCCCACTGGACCTGAGAATAAAGAGAAGATGTTTCTGTCCTTGTCCCTTAAAACCCTTCCAGTGCCTAAAGGTCTTGCGTTGCATTGGCTGCAACCATCAAAGTTCAGCTTTACAACCCTTCTAGAGGAGGTGTCCACCTTACTTGTGCCCTAGTCTTCTTAGAGACTACGGATGCCACTGTTACCCAACCCTTCAGAAGTCTTCAGCCAAAAGATAGTTATTGTTAATATGCTTTCCTTAACTTCCTTGGGACTCCTTTCTTTTCCTTGGAATATCCTAGCATTCTGTTCTTCCCAAATAGTCCATGCTGTTGTTGCTCTTATACATTTACTTAGCAGTTTTCTTCTCTTCGTTGGCCATCGAAAAGTTAATGGATCAAAGAGCTTTTTTACTTCAAAAAGCAAGTTCCACCTATGCCCAAATAAAGAGAAAACCCAAGTCCAAATATTTGCAGCAAATGGTAACAATCCTCATTTTGCACTTTACACATTGTGCACCAGTTTAGGGATAGACACAAAGAAGGTCTCTTCTTTTGCAGGTTATCCAAGGTATTAATCTTACCATGATAAATCTCCCAACAAAAAGTAGTTGTTTTGGGGGGAATAGGTATAGACCAAATTTATTTCATTGGGAAAACCCGAGGGGTGGGAGAAGAGCAGAGGGACTTAAAAAAGTAAGTACAAGTAAAAGCCCAATGACACAAATAGATTTCTCATCACTTAGGCCTCTACAAAGCCTGAGATCCCAAGCAGGAGACATGAAGAGAGTTGGGGGATGAACAAACCTTGAAATAGGCTCCTTCTTAAATAGGGAGAAAGAATAAAGGGAGGGAAAACGATCTTTTGAAGGTTGATTACCCACCCAAATATCTTCCCAAAAAAGAATAGAGTTACTCGAGCAAACACCATACTTTACAAACTTGAGGAATTTGGAGAGAATGTTGGAGATTGCCTTCCAAGGAGTAGTGAGTTGAGCCCGTCGAGATACCCCAACATCCCGTCCAGTTTTAGAACAGCCATGGATACTAGTGACCACTTCATGCCAAAGCCTCTCTCTTTCCACAAGCCGCCTCCAGAGCCACTTACGTAAGAGAGCTTCATTTCTGTTAACTATGTTCCCTAGTCCTAATCCCTTTTCTTCCTTACATCGGCTAACTACCTCCCATCTGATCAAGTGATCCTTTTTCTCTTCTCTTGGCTACCATAAGAAGTCCCTCATTAGTTTTTCTAACCTCTTAGCTACCCTGGAGGGTATCCTAAAACCAGATAGAAAATAAATAGGGAGATTAGCGAGAGTAGCTCTGATTAAGGTTACTCTTTCTCCAACGAGATGTAATTCTTTTTCCAAGGTAGTAACCTTTTTTCAAAATTTTCCACCATAGGATCCCAAAAATAACCCTCCTTTGGGTTAGCACCTAGGGGATGTCCTAAGTAGGTCAAGGGCCACTTAGAAATGGTACAATCTAAACATATAGCAATATATTCCAACTCCCTTTGATCTAAGTTTAGTCCCACCACACAACTATTCTCAAGATTGATCTTCAAGTTGGAAGCACTCTCTAAGAAAGATTATAGGTTCTTCAAATTTTGCACTCTCACCACTTCAGATCCTTCACAAAAAATGGTAATGTCATTTGCAAACTAAAGGTGAGTTATAAGGGCCTAGTTTCTTCCTTGTCTTAAGCTCCTACAAGTTGGGAAGAAATCATTTGCTCCCCCATTAACTAAAATTGATTAATGGCAGGAAGAAAGGCATCCATTTATCCATTTATCCATTTGCACCATCTGTCTCCAAAACTGTACTTTCAAAGCACCTTTAATAAAAAGCTCCAATCCACCAAATCGTAGGCCTTTTCACGATCCAATTTGCATACAAGCCCCCGAGTTCCTGATCTTCTTATCTTCTTAACACACTCATTTGCTATTAAGATCTGATCAACTAATTGTCTTTCATGAACAAAGGCACCTTGAGCTTGACTAATGAGAGAAGGAAGCACCTTGATCCTCAAGGACAAGACCTTAGCCAAGATCTTGTAGATACTTGTCACTAGGCTAATTCGTTTAAAGTCTTTGGGATGTATGGCTTCTTTCTTCTTTGGAACTAAAGCTAAAAAGATTGCATTAATTCCGTGGCTAATGACAAAACTATTTTCAAACTCTCTAAAGACTTCAAACA